TGTCAGCTTCAGTGTATCTTGACATGGATAGAAAGATATTCCCTTGTTTGGAGTTTTGATGATGAAGGCACTGTCTTCCTGACCGCTCCCATCAGGACAGTTATGTTTTAAAAGGTCACTCGGGTCAACATTATCCTTTAATGAAACATCTGCAGGGACCCTCTGCTCTAAACGGACAAGTAGACCCAAACCATGCAAAAAGAGTCCCATAGGATAACTGGATCCGTTCACTGTGGGTGTTAAGCATTCAGGCCTGTGTAGTTCTCATGGTGTCTAGAATATGGTGAAGAATGACTCATCTGACCATGTCACATTTTTCCCTCTTCTCTTTCTATCTCTGAACTCTCAAACGTGCATTCATCTCTGTATTGAGGGGTTTATGGACTGAACCCTATATATACTAGGGTTGTCAAAAGCTCTCATACATCAATCATTTTTCAGTATCATCAAGCAGATCTACAATCAACCTAAATTTGGAAAAATCCACTGATCCACAACCTTTGGCTTTTTACAACCTGGTCTGGCCACTGCGTTGTGTGTACATCCATACCTTTGATTCATTTGCTAACTGAACAAATATATTGCTTCAAAGAAAATAGTGTGCAACATAACAGGACCTGTTTTCTTTTCTTCTCGGTATAAAAAGTGGTATCAGGTATCTTTTTCAAAGTGTGGTATCGAAGTTTAAAATTTGGTAACACGACTGACAACCCTCATTAGAATATCCCGCTCTGTGACTTCTCACTCTGTCTGATCACGTCCTGCATTGACGTTTTCGGTCACTCTTTCACTTGATGACTTTCGTAAAGTTCCGCACTACTGCATAAGCATCACTGTCAACCAACGTGAGCAGCTTCCGACTGAAGACTTTCCATCAGATCTATAGTGAAACACATAACTTACAGTTCCTATTGAAACACCAGCCTGCTGAGCTTTGTGACAGAGGCCTGATATCTTTGGTCCAACAACGAGCCCTCTCTCAGTGTTACTTAGATATTTACCTGTTGTCATCCTGATAAAATAAAAGAATCCTCCTGCTCAGCACTTTCATACACACCACAGAGCATCCTTCTGTATATGCCCATACATTATATTTTTATTCAGTATAAGTTTGCATGAACTGAACAGACAATCACAATATCATCATTACAACTGTTTGTGGAACACAGCATCTGTTACGCGTAGTATGAAACAACAGGATGACCTAGGGTGAGCAGTTCAACCATAGGGCAGAACATTTTAGATTGATTTAGCAGGAGTCACACAGTCACTTGAACTAATATACTTTTATCTCACTAATGTAGAGTTTTTGTTTTTGTTCCTGAATGTCAGGTTGAATGGTTTCTGTCAGGCACAATGCCAGAAAGAGCATCAGGCCATGACTGAAACCTGACATTAAATCAAGTCTAATTACGAACTCTAACCTGACAGCATGAGAATGATGTCACAGAGATCATGTCTTTTTGTTTTTTTCTGTGAAGACCAAGCTCTATTGTTGATCTGTTTCAGCTTTCTGTACCATTTTAACAATTGTACAGGCTGTCACACGTGTATGTCTCTGACATGGAATGTTTTTGTCTTAGATTGTCCCCGAGAGATTCTCTCTAAACTTAATCTCAAAAAAAGGAAACAAGAACTTCAAGTAAAAAAACATGTTTATTTCGATTTTTTTCCTTTTTCTGTCCTATATTATATTATATTTGTGACGCCTTGGATGTTCCTGACCAAAGATAGAACGTCTCCAAGACACAGGCGCAGCTAGCAACATGTGTTTGTTGTGTGTTTTTGTTGGTCTACTTTGCCATCAGGGGGAACTAAACATTGAAAAATGCTGCAGTATTTGCCATTTTCAGCATTATCATGATATTCTGAAATTACTTTTCCAGCAGTGGTTGAAATTTTTTGATGTTAATTTTGCACTTTTCACATGCTGCTATAGTATGTTCATTTCTAATAATTATTTTATTTAAATATCACATTTGAAGCACATTTTACTGGGATAATACTGATGACAGTGATCATCCATCTCATAGCATTGTTGGACGTCCTCTGTCTTGAATGATCCAATCACATGGACAGCTCTTAGTACATGAATGAATGCACCTAGGACACATCGAGGACACATGTGAGATCTGATCGCACAGACCACATTCTGCTTTAGTGTGGGACGCATGTGGTCACATTCTTATCACCGTGTAAATGCAAATACTTACTGGGCCACAAATGAAGGACCGCCTACTCAGCTGACCTTTCTGACCTGCTACAGTCTCACAATGAACCAAATGTATTTTTCATTTCTCAATTTCAAGATTTTTTGTAACCACTGCCACAACAGACTGATTTTCATTTTGTTTCTCTGTTGAGTAAAAACTTAATATCTCAAGCTATAAGTGCAGCACATTGATTCGCTTGGCTCCTGGCTCTTATCTCTCCCCCTCTCTGTCTCTCTCTTCCTGTCACACTAACACATACATACCCAACTGTAAACTGGGTCAAAACAATATAATATGGTCTTCATCATACATGTGTATTTGCATATTGAGCAGGGAAGTGAGACATAATCACAAGTGGTCACAGGAGACACATTTTAATAACAATTGTCAACTGTCTTACTAAAAGCTGACCACTTGTGATCAGATCTCTCAGGACAGATGCTATTAATAGAGCTGAACAGGACTAATAAGTGAGCGTGTGCCCTGTTGACTTGATTTGGCCGTTCCAGTAATCCTGGACTAGTTGTTCACAGCAGGTGCAGAGTAAAGGCTCTTCCTCTGAAGCAGGAGTGTTACTCATGGATGTTTCCAAGAACTCAGACACTAATATGTCTCCAGACCAAAAATCAGCAGTGATGTTTGAACAGCTCACTGAAATGCATGAAACATAAAGATTTGTTATCAATAATCTTAGAGTGAGTTCAGATTTTTTTTGTTGTCTAGTTAAATCGGTGGTTAACCTCAAATTGAAGGTGTAACATTGCGTATGATGTAAATTAAATTATAAAAACATTTGTATTTTCATTTTGAAGTAACTGAGTCAACAGCTTAAGTTTAATTCAAGGGTATCA